ACTGATCAAAGTATTACGAACGTCTGTGGCGACATTCCTAAAAAAGGCTGCGCTCCAGTTTTGCTCCATGCTATACAGAAAAAAAATGCACACAATCCTAAAAAATGTAATCTCATGTTTCAACACCAGGCTGCTTAACTCTAAGCACAGTCCCATTGTTTTCACTCAATTAAAGTTTAAAGACCTGTAGCATTTTGTTTGGGAATGTTGCCACAGACACTCAGTTCATAATACTACTCCCAAAGTGCATTTTGGCACAACATCAAATCACTGAGCTTAAAATTCTGTTACATGTGCCACTAATGGCCCGTAGATTACACTTTTAAGAAACCCTGTTTGGATTATGGGTCACTTTTGGGGGAATTCAGCAACTGTGGCAAAGCCTTTTGGTCCCTACGGAAACAACAAAGTATTCTGAATTTTCTTCAGCTCTGATTAATTCAATTAAATTTTATTTGNNNNATCTCAGGACACTTTTCAAAATATAGCAGGTCTAGACCGTACTTCCTATTAAATGATTTACAGAGACCCAATAGTTCCCACCATGAGCAAGCACTTGGCTCTGCCTCTGACTGCCTTCTTCTTCATAGCAACAGCGACCAAGGCTCATGGGTATTGTAGTATTTAGGGCCACACTACTAATCATAACATAAACCTATAGTATCATTACGTAATGTGGGAGATTCCTGTTTTTCTATGACTGGGAACATGGATGTGGATATTATTGGATGGAAAATTTTGATAAGGGACTTTAGATTGTGGAAAAATACCTCTTGACTTGTCTGACACAAACAATTGAATTTTATAGTTTTCAATACACATTTCAGTACTTCCAAAGACTACCAAAGAAGTGTTCATTTTAAACACCTAGCCCTACAGACAATCATTCCAGCATCAAAGATCTATATCCGCATCTTAACTAAAGCTCCTTCTCTGAAGTTTAGAGTATGCCTTAGTCATCTAGAAATACAGTGGCTGACATCAAGTATCATGCTGCCAATGTGTTAAACTGAAGTGGAGACGACAGCAATCTCCTCACTGTTTGATGCCCTTCCAGTGAAGTGTCTGATTCTTTGCATCATCTCTGTCTGATGAGCTCTTGCACACTGTAAAGCTGAGACTGTATCACCGCTCCCTCAAAGTCATGTCAGCTGTCAATTAATGTTAGCTGCTAACCCTGAGTGCGGCACTCTGTGATTAATGTTTAAATGGAACTAAGGCCCTGTAATTGTGCTAATTGATTTTTCAGAGAGGCATAAAATGGAGAGGACAGTGCCTTTGGTGCACGGGGCAGCTCCCAGAGACTGCTAATCAACCATTAAACACCTCTGCTCAGAAGTGTGCAGCAGTTAACTCTAATTCCCCGAGGCTAGCTGGAGATGACTAGCATGCCAGCTCGGATTTCATCTACTATTTCCTCTGCTATCAATTCCCCCTGATGGACTCTGCAGCCTCCCTTGCCAGGACTTAGAGGACAGGCTGTGGAAATGAACAGAGCCTGTCAACGTATGGCGGTTGTAATTGAACAGCTCAATCTGCCGTGTCACCCATTCCTTGATTTTATGCAATTTCTTCAGACAGACAGCCATTTGCTGAAGGGAGACCTTTAATGAAGTAGAGAAACCTTAATGTTGGTCGAGCTTTAAATTCTGCTCTGTGATGAGCCATGCATGAGCCGGCATGCTAACTGCTCAGCCACAAACCGATTGTAATGCCCGGGCCGTCGGCGGCCCACTCGCTCAGAGTTATTGGGGGATTTGAATGAAATCAATGAAATTTCGTTTGTGTCTTCCAGAGCCAGCCATTTCTCCGCTGCCCATCACTCCATCCCAAATTGGATTACGATGGGATGGACTTTGTTGCAAGACCTCCGGGACATGCGGGAAGACCGGAGCTACAGAGAGGATGATGACATGTCTCCGGGGATAACAGCGGATGGGAGAGAGAACAGAGAGGAGAGGTAAATCCAGGAAGGGAGGGATGTCTGCCTGTGACAATGCTGGATTTATGTTGAAAGGAGTCTGTGGAAGCTTCCAAAGAACCACAAATCATCTCGCTCTCTGTGTGTGTGGTGTGTCACTCCGACTCTTAACTCAAACGCGTGAACACAAACTCATACACACGGTAAATTGATTCCTCTAAAAAATATAGTCTTTTATCAGCTATTTTCAAAAGACTTCTGCGAGGGTTTATGTTCCTTTTTATATCGTCTCCCCCCTTTTCCTCTTCCTCTCTCACTTTTCAAAGAGTAGTCATTTCAAGCCCATACTGGCTTGTGTGCCATGTATTTTTCTTTTTGCTTCTTTATTCATCAAAAGCTGGTGAGAGCGAGGCACTGCTGTACTTTATGTGCCGCCGAAGCTTGTTGTTAGCTCGGAGGACAGAAAGAGGAATGAAAGGGCTGTGGAACATTTACCATGCATTTGAAAAAGCTTGTGTGTACAAGTGTTTGTGTACTTGATGTGTGTGTATGCATGTCCGTTAGTG